ATTATGCTTTGCTTGTTTCTATTTAATTCCTCATACAGTATCCTGAAGCAAAAATGATGAAGCTGAAGATTTTTTCTGTTCTCACACAGATTTAAAAGCATTGACCCCGTGGTGACTTTTGCTCCTCTTTAACCACCACAGCACTGGTTTCAGGACAACTATTGTCATGGCAACTGGGAACTGACATCCTTGGCCACAGTTGTCTCTTTACTATCAGCTGTTTTCTTTTCATCCTTTTTGTTTCTCATCCCACCTGGGGCTTCATTTATCAAAGGTTTGTATGCACAAAATGGTTGCGTATGCCAATTTTCAGGTAAAACTTCAGCYGTATCAAGAATGAAATGAGCATGCGTAATGTACGTAACGCAAACTTCAGGGCTGGTGTGCGCACGTTTCTGTGGTTCTGGTTCCATTGGCGACACTTAGAGATGATTCTGAGAAACTGTTACTGAAATGAAAACTATTTTTGATCATGCCAGACACACATGATTAACAATTATTACATCCACATGTACGCAGTTAGATGAGTGGATGTGAAAGCATGATGCCAAAAATACCTTCAACAAGAAGCCTTATTGGACGATATGTATAACAAATTGTGCAATACACAGTGTTTTTAGTGYTTTTCTGATCCATGATGAAGACTGGCTCATCAGCTGTTGTCACCTTCCAAGAATTATCCTTTTAGGACATGGCCAGTCTGTGAATGCGACACAGTGAGCAGCCGTGAGCTGCTGACATTGGGGTCCCACAGAGGTATTCTAGAGGGAACTGGCAGACCAATTTGGACTGTGCCAGTCCACCCTGAGCTGAGCTGAGCCATGCCAGCTGATGAGATGGCTTAATCTGTATGATTCCAAAACATAAATCCACAATACAGCGGCAAAAACTTTCCAAAAATGACCTCACTTTCCAAAAATGACCCCCCCCCCAACACACATACAAGCACACACGCACGGTCTAGTACAGTTATCTTTATGGGGACAAAAATGGTCGTCACATAGTAGGGAATACCTGCCCGCACTCACAGAGAGACACAATCGCACGTCTTCTGTGTGTGACAAACACATTTTTACTACACTACTTTTTTAGGAAATTGTTTCTCGCACACATTACATTTAATTCATTGTTTTCCTGCATGTAGAAATCATTTCTGATCGCACAAATATGTCCATCACACACTGGAAATAATTTGCATCTATTTAACATATAAATGGAGGTGTGTCAGAAGAGGTGTCTGACATGCACTCAGTTCCACATTGATTGTGATGTACAAAAGAAGTGTGCTTGATTCAGGCATACGCATGGTTTGACACATCTGGATTTACTTGTGTGTACACTGTTTTCTTGATTTGACTTTTCGCCACATCTCAGTAAGAAATTAAAGCAAGTATTAGGGGTGTAACGATACATCAATCTAAATCGACATATAGATTTGAATGGTTCATGATTCAATTATGTCAAGGCAAAATGAAAATATTGATCTATATCATCATCATATGTTCGATGTGAATCGATATCATCTGCCCATCTAACACAGTCGTGTTAGATGGGCAGATGATGTCGCATTATGTCGATTGCAGACATGTAAATTGAATATAAATCGTATCGTGACAGACTTTGTGATAATGAGAAATATCAAATCGTCATCCAAACATATCGATGTAACATCGTATCACGATAAAGCTGGTGATTTACACCCCTAGCAAGTATTTGTATGAGGTTCCTGGTTGTTTTCTCCATAAACCCAATGTCCTTTGGTTGTTCTTGGTCTGTTTGTGAACACAGCACTCTATAGATTCCTTGCTTTTGAATTTGTGTAGCTAGATTCAGCTCTCCCAGGACAGCAAATAACAGTAGCAATTACTTTAACTTTTGTAGATGATTTAACTCAGTGGAAATGCACAAACATTCACGTACAATTTTGCTCAATTGTTGTCAACAATAAGTTCAAAATTTTTGTATGGTCAGTTTTATAGTTGTCCTTGGTCCTGGAGCTTTCATACCATTGATGGCTGATGCAAAGGGCTATGATAGTAAGACAAGTGATCCTGTGGTGTTATCAGAAAGTTGTTTTAGCATCCGTCAGTCATTCAACTCATTAGACAGAATAACTAGTACTGTCATAAAATTTGTCACAATTCATTGTAGCTTTTGGTCAATAACAATATGACGATTAATAGATGACAATTTCACTTGTACAGTGGGGAAAATAAGTATTTAGTCAGTCACCAATTGTGCAAGTTCTCCCACTTAAAAAGATGAGAGAGGCCTGTAATTGACATCATAGGTAGACCTCAACTATGAGAGACAAAATGTGAAAAAAAATATTGAGAAAATCATTTTGTCTGACTTTTAAAGAATTTTTTTGCAAATAATGGTGGAAAATAAGTATTTGGTCAATAACAAAAGTTCATCTCAATACTTTGTTGTATATCCTTTGTTGGCAATGACAGAGGTCAAATGTTTTCTGTAAGTCTTCACAAGGTTGGCACACACTGTTGCTGGTATGTTGGCCCATTCCTCCATGCAGATCTCCTCTAGAGCAGTGATGGTTTGGGGCTGTCGGCGGGCAACACGGACTTTCAACTCCCTCCAAAGGTTTTCGATGGGGTTGAGATCGGGAGACTGGCTAGGCCACTCCAGGACTTTGAAATGTTTCTTACGAAGCCACTCCTTTGTTGCCCTGGCAGTGTGCTTGGGATCATTGTCATGCTGAAAGACCCAGCCACGTTTCATCTTCATTGCCCTTGCTGATGGAAGGAGGTTTGCACCCAAAATCTCACAATACATGGCCCCATTCATTCTTTCATGTACACGGACCAGTCATCCTGGTCCCTTTGCAGAGAAACAGCCCCAAAACATGATGTTGCCACCCCCATGCTTCACAGTTGGTATGGTGTTCTTTGGATGCAACTCCGCATTCACTTTCCTCCAAACACGACGAGTTGTGTTTTTACCAAATAGTTCTACTTTGGTTTCATCTGACCATATGACATTCTCCCAATACTCTTCTGGAACATCCAAATGCTCTCTAGCAAACTTCAGACGTGCCTGGATATGGACTGGCTTAAGCAGGGGGACACGTCTGGCACTGCAAGATCTGAGTCCCTGGCGTCGTAGTGTGTTGCTGATGGTAGCCTTTGTAACATTGGTCCCAGCTTTCTGCAGGTCATTCACTAGATCCCCCTTGTGGTTCTGGGATTTTTCCTCACCTTTCTTGTGATCATTTTGACCCCACGGGCTGAGATCTTGCGTGGAGCCCCAGATCGAGGGAGATTAGTAGTGGTCTTGTATGTCTTCCATTTTCTGATTATCGCTCCCACAGTAGATTTCTTCACACCAAGCTGCTTGCCTATTGCAGATTCAGTCTTCCCAGCCTGGTGCAGGTCTACAATTCGGTTTCTGGTGTCCTCCGACAGCTCTTTCGTCTTCACCATAGTGGAGTTTGGAGTGTGACTGTTTGAGGTTGTGGGCAGGTGTCTTTTATACTGTTAACGACTTCAAACTGGTGCCATTAATACAGGTAATGAGTGGGGGAAAGAGGAGCCTCTTAAAAAAGAAGTTACAGGTCTGTGACAGCCAGAAATCTTGCTTGTTTGTAGGTGACCAAATACTTATTTTCCACCATTATTTGCAAAAAAATTCTTTAAAAGTCAGACAAAATGAATTTCTCAAATTTTTTATTTCACATTTTGTCTCTCATGGTTGAGGTCTACCTATGACGTCAATTACAGGCCTCTCTCATCATTTTAAGTGGGAGAACTTGCACAATTGGTGACTGACTAAATACTTATTTTCCCCACTGTATGTAGCCAACGTTGAGGCATTGGTCCACATTTTCTGGCTTTCCTTGTACTCCGGTTTATGTCAGTGTTTCAGGTGATTAAACAAATTTGTAGAGTTAGGGTTAGCTGCTCCATGCTGCCTTCCACCATTGTCATCACATGGCACTAATTGCTGTAATTGCAAAGTGGCAAATATTAATTGTTGACAGTTTTACTGATGATTTATTGAACACAATACTATTTTCCCAACCCTAATCACTAGCACATGAAAATGTTTAATTGCCCAACATGTGGGACTTACAGATGTCACAGTGATTTGATGTTAAACTAATGAGTCCACGAGGACTACCAGAAACATTGTGAAGATTCTGGTTCCCCAACACAGACCACACTATAGGAGGATCATCAACACTAGATTAGAGATGGCTGACTTTGGAGTGGTGTCATAACTGGGAGGCATGGACAAATGTTGAGTGGTGCCATTCCACATTCAGTGATGAATCTCCTCTGCGTTATGTTGGATGACCATCGTGTGTGTGTGTGTGTGTGTGTGTGTGTGTGTGTGTGTGTGTGTGTGTGTGTGTGTGTACCAAAACGAAGCAGTGATTTGGGGGATTCTGATGGAACAGAGCTATGTCTGTGGCATCTTATCAGGCTTGAAGTTGAATCCAATCCAGTGTCTGAACAACGTGTGTTATTCCATTACTCCTATGAAGTTTTAGAGAAAGCATTGCATTCGTTCCTTCCTTCATGTAGCTGCTGCTGGAAAACACTAAATCTCTCAGCCTTGTGTCTATAAAGCTTATTGTTGCTTTTTTTCTTTTTTTTCTGTCCAATGTTAAGTGGATCAATTAGGGATAACAGAGATCCTCACTAAGCTAATGTTAGCTGGCCTGCCCACTCATCCAGCTGCTCGCTCTGCCTTTCTAACTGATGTTAATTGTATTCCCAACGGATATGAAGGCTAAAACTGGATGTTAACAAAGCAGAACAGAGTCTGCTCTATTATTAGACATTAATAAATTTAGTTGTCATGTGTGGAGCTATCTTTAGATGGAATGTGAATGCTCTGTGCTGGCCAGTTTATTGTCGGAACCCAGCAAAGCTTAAATTAAGACACTGTAGGTTTGGCTTTAATTCTTTTTAAATAGTTTATTTTCTGAAAATTAGCGCATTTCTTCTCACAGTGAATAATTTTCCTTTTCATTACAGTTTACCTACCAAGATTTGTGGAGACTACTGGGAGGAGTCGACCTTTACAATGCCTGTGGCAACATCCAGTTCCGACTCTGGTAAGCTTCTCAATCTTCTTACTATAGGAGCAGCTCTCTGTGAGTGAGAGAGAGAGAGAGAGAGAGAGAGAGAGGGAAAAGTAGTAAGAGATACTGAAGGGTTTGTGGTTATCCCTGGACTCGAGACATTTATCTCATCTGCTGACTTCTCATTTGACTTAATGAGCTGGCTAATGGAGAGCCAAAACTCCAGCTTAGATCAGTCATGCCTTCTAGGATTAATTTCTGTATAGTTTCCAGGTTTTTCCAGGTCCAAACTTTTGCACCAATATGTCACAAGCTTTGCTTCATTTTAGAAATAAGTCTTTTTAACCAATCAAATCAACCATTCCTGTGAGCGGATGAAATTTTACAACAGTCTTGGAGTATTTTTACAAAACCTATTGCTTCTTGAGTTTTTTTTTTCTTTTTTTTTTTCTTCTTCTTTTTTTTTGCTGTAGCATAATGAACTCCAGCAGTTGGCTGCTGAAGAGAGAGAACGAACTCTGCTGAGAGTCAAACTGTTCGGAGTGAGCTGTCAGTCAGTCTTGATTTGTGCAAAAAGAGGAGAGCTGAGAGTGGATTACTGGAATTTTTACCAACTCAGTGAGACATCTCCACATCAAATCATTTCTTTTTTAGACTTAAAAAACAGTTTTTTGTTCTACAAGGAGATTTTTTAATATTAGAGTCAAAAAGGGATTAAATCTCTAAATCATTTTAGTTTTGGTTGTTTTGGAACATGAGAAATAACTGCTCTGACTATGTTCTGAATCACACAAACTCAGATGAACAGCAGTGCATGATACATTACACCATGTTTACATAATTACTGATGGTGTCGCAAAGTAATTATATCCTATGATTTTCTAAAAAACTATTTTGGTAGCAATAAGTTGGATCAGTCATTTTCTGTATGACACTATTAGTCCCTCAGACTGTTGTGAAGAACCTTTGGCCAACTCATTTGTAAGATGTGGTTTCAGTTTGGAAGTTTGTGAAGTATTTGTTCATGTAATCTCTCTTAAGTCTGCACCATGGAATTTTAATCAGGTTGAGGTCTGGACTTTGGATCAGTTGAACACATTCTTGTTAGGGTGTCAGAAATATGTGAGTAAGGACCCAAAGATGCAGACTAGCATGAGGACTAGATGCAATTTGTTTAGGAAAAATGAAAGGTGATGGGGCAGCAAATACAACAAGCAAGTGGACTAAATCACAAAGAGTACAGGGGAAAAAGTGGTTCAGCAAACAGTAGGACTGAAGATTGAATAAGTGCTGAGGAAGATGAGGAACAAGTAGAAGCAGCTGATCTGATTTGTTAGAGGATCAGGCGAGAAAACACATAAAAGAAACCAAACTGAGTTTACAACAACCTAAACAAACCCAAAGAACAACAACCAAAACAAAAAACAAAAAACAAAGCAAAAAAAAAAAAAATCCCAAATCATTAGCTCTCCACCACCGTGCTTCACTGTTAGTAAAAGTGTTTTATTTGTGATATAATGTGTTTAGTTTGAGTCAAGTATGGCTGGCATGCTGCTTTATGGCTAAAAAATTCAATTTGTCTAATGAAGTTGTAAGAAAACGTTGTTACTTTGCAGCCAAAGCGCACACAGGAGACAAATTCAGATTTTAGACTTGAACATTTATTTCCAGAGTAATTATGTCTGGACCAAATACAGACTGAAACGATTCTTCGAATAATTTGAGTAAATCAATTAGTAAAAATCCTTGAGGAAAATTATCTGCCTTAAAGCTTCATTAAAAATAGAAACTGTTACACTACTCAGTGCACTTTTGTCCAGTTGGAATGTTATTTGTGTTGCACAACGCTAGCATTCCCGCTAACAGCTACACTGTTAATGCGTGTATGCTAAGTGCTATTATCTTTGGAGGGAGACGAAGAGTCTAGAAAATGGCAGAAGTTGTCAAAAGTGTGGGAATATTTTAAACTAAACTGAAAAGACAACACAGTGCAGTGAATGTGCAGCACGTCTTACATGTAGCAGCACCGGAACACAAAACCGCCGCTGCGCACTGAACGCCTCCATAGTTAACAACAGGTATCCTTTATGTTTCTTTGGCAAAATACATTTACCTAAATCTGTGATAATCTGTTATGTTACAGATGTACAAGAGGTATATTTTGGCTAACGTTACATGTACTGACTGCCTTTGAGTATACTGTAAGAAAAAATACACTATATCTACTCAATAAAAATGAAGCAACAGATTACAAGCAATATTAGTACTTAAATTTTACAATGTTTGGAATTGAGTAAATATTAATTAAATGCAACTCTTAATAGTTATTAATTTAATATAAATAGATTTGAAAAGAAAACATTTCATAATTATTTAAAACCTACACAAAAATATTGAGTGGAATTAAAAACAATAAACTTCTCAATGTGTAAATAGCAGTGGTGGGCACCAGTCCGCTAAAGAGCAAATCTGCTAATTGCGGACC